GCACTCGCCCCGGCCGTGTCGGGCTATAAAGGCGGCGCGCTGCGCGCCGGTCCACCACACCTCCTCCACGTGCCGCCTGGCCCTTCAGCACCGGTCTCCGACTCCATCCAGTCGCCTCAGCTCGTCATGGACCCCAACTGCTCCTGCGCCATGGGTAAGGACACCTGGCCCGGGGCTGGGGATACCAGTTTGCGGACCTCGAGAAACGGTTTCGGAACCCACTTGCTCTCTCTACTGTCTCAGTTCCGGAGGCTAATTACCCCTTTCCAAAACGGTTGGGGTACCTTTCACTGGGTTAACCAGGGGCCCTGTCTTACGGACAGAGTCCAGTGCACGGCTTACCCAGGCTGCAGGAGTCTGTGCAGCTGGGACTGGAACCCCGAAGGGTCCCGGGAACCGGTCCAGCTTTCTGGTCCCCAGAGACTGTTCTCACCTCTTCCTTTCTCCTGACAGGTGGATCCTGCCCTTGCGCCGGCTCCTGCAAATGCAAAGAGTGCAAATGCACCTCCTGCAAGAAGAGTGAGTAGAACGCGCGGTCTTCCTCTACTCCCTAGCCACCCCTCCCCACCCCCGCCCTCCCGTCCACCTCCAAGCCCCGGAATGCAGCCCCCACCCTGAGCCGCCGCGGGAGGACGGGAATCCCGGCTCAGTCTCTGTCCTCCGCGCTCTGATGCGTCCTCCTCTTCCCCAGGCTGCTGCTCCTGCTGCCCGGTGGGCTGTGCCAAGTGCGCCCAGGGCTGCGTGTGCAAAGGGGCATCGGAGAGCTGCAGCTGCTGCGCATGAGCACGAAGAGCCTGCTCCAGATGTAAATAGAGCCGCGTGTCCAAACCTGCGTTTGTTTTCTAACCACCGGACCCCTTTGCCACCTGCCTTTTTCTATGAAACATGTGAAAGATAATAAATGTTGTTTACTTTATTCTGGCTCTTTTTATTCATTTATTTAAAAAGAATATAATAGTTTATTTTTACATTATGTTGTGCCGTTTCCATCTCAGCTGTAATCCCTGCGGGCTTCCCATCATCAAATCACCCGTGTGCCATCACCACAGTCCCATGCACTTCCCGCCCCCTCCCCCATTTTTGATCCCATTCCCCACTCCACCCTGTAAAATGTCTGGTATATAGTTGTTCATTATTATTTTCTCCCCTGGTCCTTTATGCTCCTGCTATGAGTGAAACCATCTAGGATTTCCCCTTTTTTTCTGGCTTATCTCACTAAGCATGATCCCTTCCAGCTCCATCCATGTTGCTGCAAAAGGCATGTGTTTATCTTTTTGATTGCTGAGTAATATTCCAATGTGTATATGTACCACATCTTTTTAATCCAGTCATCTACGTTTGGGCATTTGCGTCGATTCCATATCTTTCCTGTTATACATAAAGCAGCAATAAACATGGGGGTACAGGTGTCTTTTTGAATCAGTGTTTTTGTGTCTTTTGGGGAGATACCTATGGCTCTGTTTTATTTGGCATGCATTTGACATAAGGGACTTGTGCTTGATGGGGTTTCTATAAGACGTGGTCCGAGGGTTACCTCTGAGAAAAGTATCGGCAAAGTTGCCCTTTCAGAAGCAGCATGCAGCCAGTTTCGCAAGTAGACTAAGATGGTTGGTTACAGCCCAAAGGTTAGGTTCCCTAGGAAAAGGGAGGGAAAAAGACAATGCTTGCAGAGACTGCAGTGGGCAGAAAGAAAGAACTGGATTTTACTAGTGCAGAAATTGCACTGATGGAGTGTTCTTTTGGGGAGGGGTTCATTCCTTTGTGGAATTGCTATCAATTGCTAAATTGCCCACTTTTAGGGAGTTGTGTTAATTGGCAAGCATTTGGAATTCTCTATAATAAATGACCCTCAGTCTTTACACCCCACCTCTGGTCAGCCCTGCAGGTACTCAAAAGCAATCTGCACCTCAGGATTTCTTGTGCCTTAGGATTTTTTTCCCCCTATCTCTGTTAATGTCTACCCCCTGCCTTCAGTTTCTGGTCCTGTAACACCACCGCCCCAAGTTTTCTACTCTAACCTCCACCACTGTGTACCAGGGCTGGGGTGGGGGTTGTACTGCAAAGGCAAAGGTCTGGACACCAGCAAGCCTGCACGGAGCAGCTTTATGATACAGGATTCTGCTGGGGAGCCAGATCCGGCCTTTTCATTGTGAGAATAATCATGCAGCGTCTCTGTGTGTGAGGGGAAGGAGGACAAAGGAAAAAGGGAGGGGTGGAGCTAGGAAGTGTGCTCTGTGTCTGCCTTATGTATGTGTCCTGCGTCCAGGTGCTTCTCTGCCTGATGATGGGGTGCTGTTAGTGAGACCACACCCTAGAGCCCCAGCAGTGGTTTCCATCCTTCCAACAAGGTTTCCACTCCTCAGCTTCTGGGGTCCCTCATCCCATCCATCCTCAGGCACCCCACCCCCCACCCCACCCCCACACACACACCTCCCGGCAACAGAGCTAGC